AAACACCGTAAAACACCATGAAACATAGTGTATGGCATTAAACACTAAATCACTGTAAAATACCGCGAAACATTGTATTACACTATGAAATACAATGAACATGAAACATTGTGTTACTCTATAAGATAAAACATTACACCATGAGACATGGTGTTATGCTATTAAATATGGTGTGATGATTCGTAGTGTTACACTATGAAACACTGTCTTACACTATGAAATACTGTGTTACACTATGAAACACTGTGTTACACGATGTTGCGCACTATAAAGCGTGGTATTTCGCTATGAAACACAGTGTCACACGACGTTACACTGTAAAACCCTTTGAACACTATGCAACACTATGAAACACAGCGAAGTACAACGGAACGCGGTGAAACCAGGGGACACCGTCACGTTTCTCGTGCGTCAGTGTCTTACGCGCCGGTATCCTCATTTTTATCGGTCCGCTCGCAACCGGGCCATCGTGTACGAATAATTATGCTTTCATAATCCTGGAAGATTTATGGAATCGTTCCGGGACAGAATTTTAAGCATCGGGAAGACCATAAATCCGACCGGCTTCTCTCCACGGTCCTACCATTTTATTCTCCGTTTCGTGCCCGCCCGGCTACGACTAATGCGTCTTTCTCTCTCTCTCTCTCTCTCTCTCTCTCTCTCTCTCTCTCTCTTTCTCCCTTTTCCACTTCGAGAATCGTTTTACTCGTTTTATCCGAAAGTAATTTATTTATTTACTTGCGCTTATCAACGACCGGGTACGGTCGTCTCGTGCCCCCGGCCTGTCGTTAATGACGCCCGGATAAGATACAATAAAAGGTAGCTGCGCGATTAAACACCCGGATCGCTTTTAATGCCTACGGCCGAACGATCGGGAACTCGATTTTTAATGGGCCCCGAGGCAAGGATGCGGGACAAGCGTAATCAGATCGCCTGCATTTTGCATCCGCGTTATGATACACGCGCGCGCGACCTACCATGCTCGATCTCGGCGTATTCGATTACCGTCTACAGGTTCAGCGTCGTTCAGCGTCGCCATTTTGCACGGGGTTGTACATCTATTTACGTTAAAATTAAGACTGGGCAATACTCCTACATTTTTTTCATAGTCATATTTACAATTGTTCTGTTGAAAATAATTTTTAAAAGTGAAAAATCAAACTGGTACGACAGCGCGACACATTCGACCTCGACAAATCCTATTTTTCGTTCAATCGAATCTTCAAGTGTTGGCGCAAAGTATATTTTTCCTGTTCAAGCAAAGGTCGAACAAGGTCTCTGCATTTTTTTCATAATAGTATCTCGATTCGTTGTAATAATATTTTGATTCGTTACGTTCGAAATAATTTTGAAAGCGTGGAATCGTATTAGTACGACGGCGCGAGTTCCAAACTCGCAAATTTCTATTTTTCATCCTATCGATTCTTCAAGTCTCGGTGCTAAGTATTTTTTTCCTGTTCAAACAAAGGCCGAACAAGGCCTCGGTATTTTTTTCATAATAATATCTCGATTTGTTACGTTCGAAATAATTTTTCAAGGGAGGAATCGTAACAGTACCACGGCGCGATATTCAAACTCGCAGATTCCTATTTTCCGTCCTGTCAATTCTTCAAGTCTTGGTGCTAAGTATTTTTTTCCTGTTCAAGCCAAGGCCGGACAAGGCCCCTGTATTTTTTTCGTAATAATATTTTGATTTATTACGTACGAAATAATTTTGAAAGCATGGAATCGTATCAGTACGACGTCGCGAGATACAACCTCGTCAATTTCTATTTTTCATCCAGACGATTCCTCGACTCCCAGTGGAAGGTATTTTTTTTCTATTGAAACAAAGCTCGATCGAGGCCCTAGTATTTTTTTCATGTTAACATTTTGATTTGTTACGTTCGAAATAATTTTAAAAGCGAGAAATCGTGTCAGTTCGATGATACGTCGATTTACAAGACCATCGCCAAATTCTAATTACATGGATCAATCATTTCGACTGTTATCCAATTTTATACGGAATGGTTCCCCGCATATCACCACCTCGATTTCGAACACCGTCGCCGAAATCTACTCGGGCGGAGTAATGAAATAATCTTCGAATCATTAACTACTTCAATAATTCAAACGAGATTACGGCTTTCTCGTGGGGCTCGATACGCGCTCAGAATGAAGCTGATTAATAGCCTCGTTGGCCAGGCGGGGACAGAGCCTGGCTGCAATAATTGCATTCTCGCGTGTAAATCGTCGGCGATGGGATGCCCGCGGGTTTTGCGTTCAATTGTTTGCAATTTCAATTGTTCGCTGCCGTTAAATGGAACCAGTGATCCTTTGAGGACTCGCCTTATCCTCGGCAAGGATCATCGGCGGAATAGCTATCCCACTCCCTTCTGCACTCGATACTCGACCAATGACGTCTCCGGGTTCTTCCGCATCGCAAACATTCGGCTTTATTAATCCGAGGGGTTCGTGACCGAGAGACAAACAAATCCGCGACTTTCTCGACTCGAGGAGCCGGCGTCCCCTTCTCTTCTTCTTTCCAGTGTCTCTGAGTCAGGGCAAGAGTTAATTGCGATACGACACAATCGTTTTATTTCTTGAATTTTCGTGTATTTTCTTCTGTTTCAGTTGGAACAAAACAGGACGTTAAATTGCGCTGCTTCTTAATTAGTCTGTTCTTTTTGCTCCTTTCCAATCGTTTTCTTTTCTTTTCGGTATAGTGAAATGCAATGTAACAGAGGTATACCATTTTTTGGTTAAACAGGTCACGAAATATTGTTGTCTTTTTTTCTGCTAGCTTTAATAAAATATTTTTTGATCGGACAGATTAATAATCGTTTTCTTTTTTACATTCGTTTTCTCTTGGTTAAATTAATAAACATAAAATTTCGCTTGATTCTCGTCGGTCTGATTTTCAAATATTTACTTCTGTTTCGCTTTTCTGTTTTTTTTATTGTGACTGTGTACGACATCGTAATATTATACTGCTTTCGAACCTCCGGTACAACAAACATTTTTCTGCGCTTTTTTTGGCTTCCATAAAATACGATAAAATGACAATGTCCCGGACTCACTGAATTCGTTGAACGCTTTTTTTACTTTTTTTTATTCTGCTTCCTTTTGGCTTCCATAAAATACGACGCAGTGACGTAGTTTCTGAATCAGTGACTTTTTGGAACATTTCTATGAGGTCTGTTTTTGGATCAGCGATTCATGTTTACCACACCTGAGCGACTTAATATAGATGCTTCGCGATTGCGTTGCAACACAATTCCGTATATTGCCTGACCCATTTTAATTAACCTGCAAGCGGTGACCAAATTTTTCGTAGCTTGTTTCACAGACTGATGAGACGACAAATTGGCGTGCGCCATCAATTGAAGGTTAAACCTTCCGTAGTTAAATATTGAGACTAGGGTAGAGCAGCCAATTACGGTGTCCTGTTAGCGGCCTTCAGGAGTTCTCGCTACTAAACACAACTTTAGCAATTCGAATAACGTTTTGCAACCCTTTGACTGCGGCATACACTCGAATAAAACCATCGATATAAACGAAGCGAAATAGGCAAATCAGCCGTCGTGACTGGCTGGCGCATATCATTTCGAATATAATCATAAAGAAAGCAATTTGATATTGATAATGAATGATAAGTTTCATTTGATAAACACTGTCTAACACAATGATAGGCTAGTGCAACAGAGAAGGTGTTGCAGTCTACAAAATGTAGAGAGCTATTCGTAGATTTGTGGGGACGAAATATTTTTCGTACAGTCGATTCTACAATCTTAGGTGCAAAGTATTTTTTTCCTTGTTCAAACGAAGATCGGATAAGGCCTCCGTATTTTTTTCATAATTATATTCTGATTTATTACTTACGAAATAATTTTTAAAGCAAGGGATCGTATTAGTACGACGGCGCGAGATTCAAACTCACAAATTTCTATTTTTCGTTCTGTCAATTCTTCAAGTCCCGGTGCTAAGTATTTTTTTCCTGTTAAAACCAAGGCCGGACAAGGTCCCTGTATTTTTTTCATAATAATATTTTGATTTGTTACATTCGAAATAATTTTTAAAGCGCGGAATCGTATTAGTAAGACGGCGCGATATTTAAACAGACAAATTTCTATTTTTCATCTTGTCGATTCTTCAAGTTTCGGTGGAAAGTAATTTTTTCCTATTCAAGCTGAGGTCGAACAAGGCCCTCGTATTTTTTTCATAATATCTCGATTTGTTACGTTCGAAATAATTTTTAAAGCAAGGGAACGTATTAGTACGACGCCGCGATATTCAAACTCGCAAATTCCTATTTTTCGACCTGTCGATTCTTCGAATCTCAGTACAAAGTATTTTTTCCCTGTTCAAAGAAAGATCGGACAAGGCCCTAGTATTTTTTTATAATAATATTTTGACTCATTACGTACGAAATAATTTTGAAAGCGAGGAATCGTATCAGTGATTCAAACTCGTCACCCCGAAGTAACTCGAAACTTCCGACTTCCGCAAGTGTAATTTTATCAAATAAATAGTTAAACAAATTTAAATAAATAAATTTGTTACAAAGTTAACGATGCTTGAAAACAAAGGCCGCAGTAATTCACTATCCCACAGTAACTGACTCTACTACTCTACGCAAACAAATTGCTAGAAAAGCCGCAAACCAAAGAACTCTTGACAAAAGAATCGTTCCGCATACTCGAAACTTCGGAAACGTAATAAAACTGTTTCAATATATCGTTTACCGATCATTCCGGCCGGACGAGTCGCAAGAACGAAACTCCGTTAAGAACGAACGAAAGTTAAGGCGGTCCCCGGTCCCCACAAAGCGCGTCTCCGCTGCGAGGGTGGGGGAGGGGGTGGTGGTTTGTAAAACAATGAAATTAAGCCGGCATCCGAGCCGCTCTTACGTAGCCCGCGACCGCCATCCGAACTCCGGCCCTTCGAATCTGCGCGCCGCGGTTTCCCGAATCCTTTGATCCCTAATGGAATTGCTAATATGATCGGTTGTCTTGACGTAGATACGGCCGGTCGGAGGCCGCCGGGCGCCGCCACGAGGATGCCCGAGGATCGATCGTAACCGGAAATCCTCTGCTGGCCTTGCAGAGGTAGGGGACGAATCGGTCGGCCGCTGGAACTATCGAACCCGGACGAAGACATGAAGTCGTCGGACGCTTAGCCGGTATTTCGCGGTACTTCGACAGGGCTGGTGGCGATGAACTGGTCGCGGGTGGCCCGGCCGGTGGAAACGTGAATCCTGTGGCTCTGTTGCGTAGTGCGACCGATAGAGAAGCAGAGAGCGACATGTCCGTGGAATACCCCGGTGATCTCGGCATCAGTGAAGATCGGAACCGAAGCAAGCTCGATGGAACCGTCCAGGGAAACCAGACCGAGTATCGGCTCGACACCTTCCCGGAATACCTCAACGTCACCCTCCCCGACGCCAACGCGACGGAAGAGATCGACTCGTTCTACTTCTACGAGGTAAGTCGAGGAAACGTTGACCTATTAATAATTTCGGTGCCACGGGGGAATCGGCTGCGAGCGCTGCTCTTCGGGGTACCGGTTGTTTATTTGACCAGCGAAGGTTCCGAACGGGATTAAAACCAACATTTTATAGCGTGTAATCTTCTGAAAATGAATCTCATAATTTTCTACATGTTTAACATTGATAGTTTATGACATGCAAGTGACAGCAGTCGCGGTTTTAATTTTTTTATTGATTTTTGATATTCGGAAGGTTATGGAAACGTTGATTCTGTGAACGCTGATTCGAAATGCATTTACGTTTTGGTAATTGATATTGAACTATTCGTTTTAGCGTTATTTTTAGATAAAGTGATCGTTACTTCGTTAAAAAAATCGCTGTTCAGTGTCATAATCAACTGTCCTCAAATATTATTTAATAACACTGTATTTGGCGCATAGTCTTTTAGTATGTGTTTACATTCCCGCGGCGCTTTACCGAACTACGTACCTTAACCTATGCAGCGCGGTTCTCGACGAGCCGGTGCGAACACGCTTCATCGTAGAGTATCTATACCTAATTTGTAAAGTGTTACAGTGAGACTATCTTGATTCTAGGAATTGTAGCTCTGTGTGTGTGTGTGTGTGCGCGCGCGTGCGCGCGCGTGTGTGTGTGTGTGTGTACATTTAAAAGAAAATAGGAAAGGTACAAAGGAAGAAGTCGAAGGTAAGAGAACAAAAAATATCAAACGTGATAAAGAAAAGGAAAAATGTAAGGTTATGCTACCCTAAGGAAAACGTGACGTTAGCCTCGCAATGTAATATATGCACGCTTATGGTTTCTTTACATTGCACTTTTTAACGAAATTTGTGCTTTCAGGGATCCAATATTTTGAGCAAAATAAATGTTCAAGTTAAAGAATAATATTTATAGCCCAAGTTGTCAATTTATTAGCGTAGAAGGTCTTATTTTCTCTGACAAAGTTCGCCTTCATTGAGAAATTGCAGTAATACTTACGCTTATCCTAGACAGAATTTAAATCAGCGAGAAGATTGAAAGTGACCGAGAACGTCGATGCATTATTTTGAACGTATTAAAACAATTTTTATTTTGCACGTAGATCCGCTGTCTGGTCATAATACGTTGGAATAATCGAAATACAACCGCGAAATGCGTGTGGATTTGTGAAAAATGGTGAGAAATACTGAAAAACTGTGTCAAACCGTAGTTTGCAGCGAGTCGTTCAATAAACTTGGCGCTCAGATTGCGCACAAAAATGAACAATTTGGGAAGAGGAGATACGATTGTTCGAGTCAGTTTCGAAAATGGTCCTTCGTCCAATCGTTAACATCTTTTATTCGATTATAATATTTATAATTATGTATAAAATATATTATGTAAAATATAATTATATATAATATACCCTACTATAATATAATATAATATATTGTATGCATATACAATATATCATGTTATTATGTTATAGTATATTATATATAATTGTCATTAATTACCCTTACGTGGATAATTATCCTTGTCCAAATAAAGTCATCCCACAGTAACCGGCTCCACTGCCCCATTACACTGGGTACAGCGGCCGCAAACAATAGATGTACACATTCAACTCTTATCTCTATCTTAGGTCGGCGAAGCTGACCGTCAGGACTCTGACCGATTTGTTTGTCTCTCTTAGCGTGATAGAACGGAGATGGTATTGACATTTCTTGGAGAAACGTTTCCGCGTCAAACGTACGCCCACGGGATCCGTTTGGTTTATTGCGACGGCGCCGCGAGCGGTTCGGCGGTGGCCGACGACAAAAGAAACTTTCGAAGACGGGCCCGGTAAAGGCGTATATTTATGGCGTATCTCGGCGGAGCATAATGGAAAACCGTGATAACGTCGGATCCGCGTTCCTCCTCTTAGGTCATCGCGGGTTTCTTTCATTTCGCCGCGATCTGCGACCACATCAATTTTCTGCCGTCGCGGTGTGCAGCGGTGAACTACCGTGAATGGGACATGCTTTTGTTTAAGACAAGACAATAAAAACAGACTAAACGATCTATCTAATTCTGGTGCGAGACGTTCGAAAGATGTGATTAATACAGGGCGTCCGATAATTATGTTAACACAAGGGAAGATTCCCGAGGTTATTTGAAGCAACTTTTCCCTTAGCGAAAATGTTCTGCGAGGCTTCGTTTACGAGTTATTAGCGATAAACAGTGACCAATGAGACGTCGTGTAAGGGCTGGCGACCCGCCCCCGAGCACTGCCGCCGCGTCACACGGCCGGCTCGACGCGGCACTGGCCGCGGGACGGAGCGCCAGCCACACACGCTCTCCGATTGGCCCGTGTTTTTCGTTAATAACTCGAAAACAAAGCCTCGGAGAAAATTTTTATAAAGAAAAAAGTTGCTTCGAATGATCTCAGGAATCTCTAGTTTCCCCGAAGTAAAAATTTCCCCAAGAAAAAAATTACTTCAAATAACCTCGGAGACTGCTAATTTCCCGGAAGTACCATAATTTTGAGACACCCTGTATAGACAGAACTTGCAAAATCGATTGCGTCATATTCTATGGATTTCTTTCGGCTTACGATCCCCTTCGCTGACAGTCGATTACTCAAACACCGTTGCGACGGTTGAAGAAGGGACATTAAGAATCGATTTCTCACAGAGCGGATCGCGCGGCCGCGATAACAATGACGCGACCGGAGCTAACTGTTCCACGAATCTGATCTTTATATAAGGGGATACTATAAAATCACGTGGACGATGCAAGCCGCTCGACGGAACGTCCACCGTTCACCTATTAATAGAGCGGCCGTTGCTGCCGCAATGAAAAAAGCGTGGGGTGTTCATGAAATAGAATTCGAAGCCCGAGGTGACGAGGGACGGTCTGTGCACGCGCAGTGTTTGTCTGAATCATTCTCGTTACTGCAACGAAATTGTTTTCGAGCGAGAATTGGAGTTAATTAATTTTTAGTTAGTTTCAATTACAGGGCAGCGGACCCGATTACCGTGGGGTAGCCAATCACCGTGCCTTTTGTTCATTTTCAAACATAATTAACCCTTCGCGCTCGAAGCCATTTCAAATCGATTGCTTAGCTGGCGCTAGTCTTTTGCTTGCCACAAGCGAACGGTGTTTCGGCGCTGCGACGTCGCTTCGGGCGCAACGGGAAGGCGATCGAATTTATGACAAGCGATTGTTACGGTGCTTGGCATTGCGTTTCTTCGATCGCGATTACAGCCGGCCAAAATCGAAGCGGGTGTCCCAAAATTATGTTATCTCCGGGAAATAGGTTCCTCGGGTCATTTGGAGAAACTTTTTCCTTTGCGAGAATGTTCTCCGCGGCTCTGTTTACGAGTTATTAACGAAAAACGCCGTCCAATGAGTGGTCACGCACGGCTGATAGCCCGCCCACGCGAGCGCCGCCGCCGCGTCACATGGCCGACGTCCCGCCTCGCGCCGGCCGCTCGCGCTCTCCAATTGGCCCGCGTTTTTCGTCAATAACTCGTAAACGAAGCAGCGGAGACAATTTTTGTAAAGGAAAAAGTTGCTTCAAATGACCCGAGGAATCTCTCGCTTTGCTATGTCGAGCGACTTTTGAGAAACCGTGCATTCGATGTGAATATACCGTCACCCATTTTCCCCGAAAATCCGCAAAATCTTCGGGCCACTAGCGGTACGTAGCGCGCATTGAAACCGCGCCCCGCAAATTCTCATAAAGCGACCGGGAAACAATAGGAATTACGCGAATTGTTATTTAAACGGAGCACGGCGTCCACTCGAGCGAATTGGAACGAAACGGCATCAGTATTGGGCCGCGCAAGCAATCCCTTTCGCTGATACAGCGCGTTCAAAACACTGGAATATATGTGTAATGCACTCGAAACACGGCGGAACTAGGAATTTCCAGACAGCGAGCGGGGCGAACGAATTCGAAATTACCGAAGCTACGGGCGCCGCTTTGTCGTTACGCCATCGGCTTCGCATTACAAACGCGGTAATGGCGGTAGGCCAGCGACACGGAATCCTCGGGACCGGTTGGACATCCGGGCGTGTTCAACTTCGACAAGGTTTTGCGGATTCGGCCGGATCGGATCGGTTCGCTGCGGCAACGAGGCACCCCTAATTTGTGAATTCGCTGCTTGCCCGGCAATTAATCGAACCGCTTTGCAACGACCAGCGCAAATACCAGGGGACACTTTGATAAATGTTGCTCGGATTCGGGGTTGATGCTATTGTTGCCGGCTAGGAGTGATTTTTGCAGGCGACTTACACTGTCTGGAGCGTTTCGCAGAGCATTTCTCAGGATTTCTATCGCTTTTCGGTGTTATTAGTATTTTAGGAACAGTTTCGACGAAGTCCTGACGTTATTTTGGCGGTTCTCTGGCGATGGAAGGAGTTCAGTTGGGATCTTTATGCTGAATTTGGTGGAGAGCTTGTTGAAATCTCGTAATTCCGCAATTGTTCCACTTAATGCGAACTATTTCCAAGCACTTTACTGCGATTTATAGCCGTGTTTGATAAAGGTTTTCGACGTTTTTGCATTCTTTTTGACGATTGAAGGTATTCGAAGATGTTTGATGGAGTTTAGCTCGGATCTTCATGGTTAATCCAATTGAAAACTTGTTAAAATCTCGTAATTACACAATTGTTTCACTTAAAACGAGCAATTTTCAGGCTTTTATCCTCGCGTTTGACGAAATTTTTCGATTGTTTTGCATTCTTTTTGGCAATTAAAGATGTTTAAAGATGTCTGGCTTGGATCTTCCATGCTCAACTCGCTAAAACTTGTTGCAATCTAGCGGTGCCACTTCGCTTCACTCAAAAAGCTCGATTTTTATCCGTATTACAACATTCCTCTGCCTCCCCTCGCTGCGGTTTTACCAACAATTTCCGGCAGGAAATTTCGCAGCCTTTCAAAGTTTCCGCGTGAAATTCGAGTTTCCAAAACGGGCGGTTGAACGTGACTCGGGCACAGGAGAGCTCACAAGAAGGTACCGCGAAGGATTTC